TGTTAATGTTTTGTTTTGAATATATATAGCTTTCATGGCATTTGCTACTTCAACCATTATTCTGTTCCTCAATGGAAGCATCAATTAAAATACCGAAAATTTTCCTCAAGACTTTATTTTTGGCGAAACTGGGCTGCGTTTTAGGGAGATAATTAAGAATTCTTGTACACACTCTCGCACCGTAAATCATATTCCACCGTGAAAATTATATTCGTTCATTTATGCTATCAAATGAACTAAATCTTGTTAACAACGTTGATATAAAGATCAATTTCACACTTAAATATTTAATAATTTCACACAGTACATCATACTTTTAATAAGGAGTACATCAACCCTCATACTTCGTTACTATCTTATATGATTAAATAAATATGATCAATGTCCGTACATTTGTCTACCGATTGTTAACATATTTTACATTTAATTTGCAATTTAACTATGCAAATGCAATAATATATACATACAAGTACATATACATGACAAGTTTGTTAATAATTAGCATCTCCTGCGATCTCAAGAAATTCTATTCCAGGCTTCTAGTGTCATTATATTCCGCATGCAATTTTAATAACAAAAATTTGTTCATCGCTTTAATTTTTCTCTTATATAGATATTTCCAATAAAATGGTATTTTTACTTTCGTATGTGATATAATAAAAAAACTGTTACACATTAAAAAAACGGCTCAGGAGAAGAGAATTCCGAATAGAAATCATTTGGTAATATTTCACCTTCTCTAGCTCTAGTTTCGCGAATGTACATAATTATATGTGAAAAATTCAAGTAAATTTTTAAACAAATAAGAACTGTTATGTACAGCTTCGAATGCTTTCTTTTCTATTAGATACCAATTGTATAAAAAAATATTAATAATTTTTGATAGTAATGGTGCGTACCTATATGCAATGCTTGTAAATATTGGAGTAAATTTTGTAGAAAATGTAGCTAATTCATTTGCATTAAATTGCATTTTCCAGTAGGCATAATTATTTATCAATGTAAATGAATATTTACTAATGTTTGTATAAATCAGTATATAAAAATTTCTTTTGAGTGGTTTGAGTGTGTGATGCTCTAATGTAGTAAATCAATTACAAAATTATTTTCTGATCATTTTGAATTATCTTCTTAAATTCAAATGCCATTGTCTTTTTCCTGCTTATCGCAAATACTGTAGCACATTGCGTGGAAATTCTATTTTGTATTAAAACTTCTTGAATATTTAAATTTAACATCCATAACGTTTTAGCATCATCTAATATTCATGACGACGCTTGACTACAGAAAAAGCCAGAACAGTATTTAAGATTTTCGGAATCGCGAATTTGGGATGTATTGATAATTTATGTTGACTTAACAATTGAGACGAGTACATAATTATATTAATGCGCAGGCTAAACTGAAAAGTACAATAATTGATTGATATTTAATCCTTGATTGTCTAGTATTTGATCCTAAACTATAAGATATTTACAAGAATAGAGAGCATCAAAACTTGAATCCAAATTAATAACATTATATCCAATGATCAAACCCTAATTTTTATGCAAATAATTTCTGCAAAAATCTCATTAAATATTCTTCATTCACACTTTGGTATTATGTATGGGTACTTTTTCCATCGATAATTAATTTGTACACCGAATTTTCCCTAAAGTATTTTGTAAATCAATTCGTCTCATTCTTAATTCTTACTTATGTAAAATTAAAAGTTTCACAATTGACTTCAATTCAAGAGGTTAAAATAATTTAATTAGAAAAATTGATATGCTAGTACTAGTATGTCTTATATTAATCTACTGTTACGACTACTATTAATATTAATAAATATTTTATTTATTTTTACTACAGATAAATATAATAATTCAAAAAAAAAATAAGAGAATGCGATAATTAATTCAGTAATAAATCATATTAAGTTTAATTCATAATTCATTTAATACATTTTTGGTATTGTATTTAAAATCATACTTCATCGAGTCTTTCAAATACCATATTAAAAAAATTGTTCAAATGATATACTTTTCTGTTTATATTTTGTTGATACATAATGCTATTTGTTTATGAATATTCACCATCTTTTCGCTTGAATAAATTGCATTCCGGATTTATTATCTATCTACAAACAAGTTTGAGATTTTTTTTTCATTCTTAAATACTTAATGTTCTTAAATTTTCTTCTTGTTTTTACATTGTTTGTAAATGTAAATACAATATTTACGATAACAAATATTTGTATTTTAAATAGTGGTATACTTGAAAGCAGTTTTGAATTTTATATCTTTGATAGTTATATGGGCTTCGTAGTAAGAACGTGGTTTAGCATTCACTTGATCCGAGTTCGATACCTACCTAGGCTAGCAGTAGTGATATCAAGTAGTAGCGATGTCATATTTTTACTTAAGATTATATAACATATCATTTTGATTGCTGACATGAAGATTTATCTCTCTGAAATTAATATATAGAAATTATAATCATATTGTTATGGTAATTATTTTATGTCCTTACAAAGTTTAGTACAAATGTTTTCAATAATTATGTTAGTTCGCATTCTGATGTTTTACTATTTATACTTGCAACATTTTTTTTTTATCATCGGTGGTAATTCAAAATATTTCCAGCTGCAGTGGTTTTATAGGAAAATAAGGTTTTCAGGCTTTCATAATTATTTATTTTGTCAATTTATTAAAGAGAATCTCAAGCCGATCATTATGAGCTACTATTGTATATTTATGATTTTAACTTGAACAACATAGTTATAAATGCTATAATTATTATCAATACAAATTGCCATAACATCAGAAACTTTCATGTATCTTTTGCAATACTAAATAATCAAATAGCTAATGAAAGTGCATTTATTCGAAAATATAAACTTCCTACGAGCGCAGGTGTTTTCTCAGGTGAAACTCGATCTAGAGAGGGCTTATAAATGTGTTCATTATCATAACATGGATTTCAATAGGTTGCTGAACAGCAATGTAACGTAAGAGAAAATCAATTCAATAATACTAGAAATCCTACCGTTTCCATATCAATTTACATTTATTGCTGATCGCAAAATCGATAATAGTTGATTTGCTCGAGGCTGGGTGTAGAAGGAAAAATATTTATAAATTCACTTTTTTATCTTTACTATTTAATCTTGAAACAAATACTAGTTAGGTATATTTTCTATACTATAGAGAAATTTCTTATGTCTGAAGCACCTATTATTTTCAATTCGAAATAAAGCTTGATGACGATCTTATAATAAATAGTACATAAATCAAAATTTTTGTAAATTATTTATTAAGTGCTATTTAACAACGTTGTTTACAAAAAAGGGATATTTATAAACACACAAAACCAGTTAATAAAATAATTAACAATGAAATTAAAAAATTATATTCATAAAAATGCAAATCATAATAAATTAAATATTGTATAATTTAGTAGTGAAAAGTACCTATCTATGGTTCAAAGTGAATTACTGGTTTATTGTGAGTTGGGTTTTAACTACCATTTGAGTCCAGCAAGAGTTGCATTTTTTCTAATATCAATTTTATTATTTCATTGTTGCTGTCTTGATAAAAATAAGTACTTAAGGACATACCTAAATACTTTTGGTCCTGTCTTGACAATTTTTTGGCATCCACTGAATGATCTGAATATTTATCTCCATCGCATACTAGTTGTAAAATTGCAAGGATAAAATGTAAAAACTAATTTTAATGTTATATTATTCTAATCTAGCATTACTAGCAAATCGTCAAGTAGGAGTACCTGTTTGATATCCTTAAATGGTTATAAAGTAATTGCCGATATGAAGACAGTGCTTTCACTTTTTCCTTGTCTCTCCCTGAAATGATAAATAATAAGGAAGTACGAAAGGCGGTTAAATTTTATGCATCGGGACATGCGATACTGCCGGCGCTTCTAGGTTTCATTCATTGCACGATTTTCTCATACAACTTTATAAATATTGGTTGGCGCTTATGGTGTACGTAACCACTTTCAAGTGATAAGAAATCTATACTACATTTATTTTAAAATATTGTTTATATATATGTTTATATATATATATATATATATATATATATATATATATTTATATATTAGGGTGGTCCTTAATATGGACATTTTCGAATTTCCTTGCTCCCAAGGGCTCAAATGGTTCCAAATTGTTAAAAAACAATTCTCTGAAAGTTTTAGTTCTTGATATTAACTTTTAGATAGTGCGCAATTCAATCAAACTTCGTGTGGAAATAGCATGGAAAAAATTTTGAAAATTAAAAAAAAATTTTTTTTGGTATAACTTAGCGACAAATGAATTAAAAGTGAAAATTTGTCATTTTTCATTGAAAATTCGATGCTCTGCAAAATTTTTGAAATTTTTTTCATGCTAATTCCATACAAAACTTTGATTAAATTGCGCACTATCTAAAAGACAATATTAAGAGCTAAAACTTTCAAAGAATTGTTTTTTATCAATTTCGAACCATTTGAGCCCTTGGGAGCAGTGAAATTCGAAAATGTCCATATTAAGGACCACCCTAATATATATATATTTATATATATATATATATATATATATATATATATATATATATATATATTGTAGAGTTTCGAACAAGAAACCAAAAGTAATAAAATACAAGAAAAGTTTTTTTATAAACAATTTCTTTTTTTATTTATTTATTTACTGTCGACGTTTCGGAACTAGGTACGTTCCACCTTCAGAACATCTATGAAGGTGTGAAGATTCAGGACATCTGTGAAGATGGAACGTACCTAGTTCCGAAACGTCGACAGTAAATAAATAAATAAATAAAGAAATTGTTTATTAAAAAACTTTTCTTGTTTTTTTATTACTTTTGGATTCTTGTTCGAAACTCTACAAAATTTACACAAATCTAAGATTCTACCATTTAATATATATATATATATATATATATATATATATTTGTGTGTTATTGATTTTGTCGCAAATGTTATATTAATATCTATTCCAGATGAACCACGACCTCATCTGGGTGCCTGGGAGGACCCTCTGACAACACTGTCAGCCTCGGTTCGAGCCTCCACCGGGCGGCGGCGTAAAGGGCCCACCGGTGGTGGCAGAACCCATACCTCAGAGGACAGCTGGGGATCTAACTCTGATCATGAACTTTCTACTGACGATGAAAGCGATCGCAGTGCTGCTTCAACAACAAGGTATTCACCATATTTTTTATAATTAATGTGAATTGCATTTGGAAAACATCATTTATTGCAACATGTAAAGATATTCGTCGAGATGACCGTTTCAAGTAAACGGCATAAAAATTCTTCGTATTTTTTATTGAGAATTTACACCATGTACTGGATACATTTTTATCAGCTTTGCAATGAAAGTATATAAAGTAATTAGCATATAAATTCTAATCAGTATCTTACTTCGGAAAATAAAAAATAGTTCAAAAGTTGTTCTGCGAACTCCGCGTCATATCAATTTAGCATATTAGAATCATTTAGAAGATCATAGGTTAGGCGTTGCAGTTATTATGATACACTCACGTTCGAATAAATACTATGCCCTTCGTCCATATGATCGATTTTTGATTACATCAATGCAGATTTTAAAAATAAACAACTAAAATGCTTATTTAAATATATATGATTAATTATAGTACCTAATATAGTAATTTCACTTTTTTCGCATTATAATAATGCTTTCGCTATATTTAAACGAAAACGTGTGGGCGCGTGCGTGTTTGTGTATGCGAATAATTCACTACAAAAATATAAAAAAGTAGTTCATGTGTTGCAAAGTTTTCAACACATATGTGTAATATTCTTAATTTTTATTTGGTGTATATAATAATAGTAATATTTTTTTTCTTTTCTTGCTCTAGTCGCGGTCAACTGCGATCGACTTTGAATAAAGCTCGCACTCTGTGGCGCTCTTCCGGAGGTTCATCGGGTTCATCTTCTATGAACGGATCTTTGAATTCTCCTGGAATGGCTCAACCCGGTGCAGATCCTGCTCATCCTGGCGATGGCTCGCCTGGAGGGCGCTTATCGCGATGGTTTTCAATGAGAAGAGGTTCTTCGCATCAATATGATTTAGGAGGCACTACAACATCCAACAACGCGCAAATTACAGCCGCTGCATTAGCTGCAGCTGTTGCAGCAACTAATAATAATCACAATGTTGTCGATGGTTCATCTAAGATGCCTCAACTAACGGAGGTATATCTAGCGACAATATTCACATCATTACTGTTTTTATTACGCATATAAAGTAAATTACTAATATTTATGCTCATGATGTTTAATTATTTAATTTTATTTAGATGGACGAAGACAGTGTACCCGTAACAAATACAGCTTTGCGAGGCAAAGGTTCTTTCTATGGAAGATCGCCGTCCACCACGTCGGGCGGTAGCGGTGTGAACAACGCGAATCGCAGTGGATCTTTACCACCTAACAGTGAGTTGACGTCGACGGCTTTGCAACAGCAAATTCCGTTGCGAAAAACCGCTCCGCCAACATTGCCACCGCCGCCGCCTGGTCTCACAGAATTACAACGAAAGCGACGGCTAATAGTTCAGTCAATAGTCCATAGCGAGAATTCATATGTTGCTACTCTTCAGCGCCTTGTTAACGTAAGTGATCCATATGATCCATCAATTGTTTCGAATGAATCGAAAAAATTATGACTTAAAGTAAATATTTTATATTTCTCGTATAGGACTATAAAAAACCGCTGGAAGAAAGCAACCCCCCTATACTGAATTCAGCGAAGATTTCTACATTATTCCTATGTCTGCCTGAAATCCTACAGTGCCATTCGATGTTTAGATTAGCGTTAGCGGAGCGTGTTCGTGCCTGGGATCGTGATGAGCGATTAGGCGATGTGTTTTTTAGTACATTTTCCAAAAGTACAGTTTTGGAAATCTATAGTGGCTTTATTAATAATTTCTCTGTGGCGATGGAACTCGCCAAAATGGAATCTAAAAGAAAGTCAGCTTTGGCAGACTTTTTTAAAGTAAAGCAAATGACGGCTCACGACAGGCTGTCATTCTTCGGTCTTATGGTGAAACCAGTGCAGAGATTCCCGCAATTCATCATGTTTTTGCAGGTAAAATAGACATTGCACATGAATATATTTTAAAATTTATTAACCACTAAATAAATATAATTTTTGTAATATTACGGCATTTTTTTTAACAATGAGAACCGGCAAATAATAATAACGTGGCATATTGGTAAATTTTATGCCCAAACTGACCGTGGGAAATATTAAAGGCCTATGAAAAGCGTTTTAATTATAAAAATTAATTAAAGCTTGAATTTTAGTAGCGTGTTGAACACATAACACATGGAGCGCTTTCTCATATCAGTAGCAAGGTAGTGGTAGCTAATTCTAATCTTTGCGTCTATGCTCGGGAGTTCCAAACCCGCTCGAAGATTTTATTTTATTTTTAATTATTTTCATTACATTTCTATAAAAATTAACCTAAATTTTTAATTAATTTTATATTTTTCTTCTGAATATTCTATAATAAAGTACCCTGTAACGCCTATATAAAATTGATGTTATACTTGAAACATTACAATTTCATATTAATAGAAACTTATTGCTGTCTTTCGATGAAAAAATATAATGTATTTTCATATAAAAACTATTTTTTAAGGTTGATGAGATAATACTAATTGACGGGACAATACTGAGAATAAATTGAAATATATCAATTGAATAATATATTATGTTCTCTGAATTTCAGGATTTATTGAAAGATACTCCTCAGGGTCATCATGACCGCATGAGTTTGCAATTGGCTTTGACGCAGCTCGAATCTTTAGCGGAAATGCTTAACGAACGTAAACGCGAAGCAGAGCAAAGCCAAGCGTTCCGCGAAACGCTGGCTCGTATTGGAGGCGTACTCAACGCTCGCTCTCTCAGCGATGGAAATCGGTATCTTATCCGAGAAGATGATGTTACACAATTGGTAATTAATCTTTTTTTTCTTATATTCATAACAATAAAAGTTAGTTCTATTGTTCTTTGCCTCTTATTCAATCAAATTTGTAATAAATTTGTTCTCTCAAATCAGGAGTATAATCAAAATGGAATGATAACAAAATCTAAGCCTCGACGATTGCTATTATTGAATGATAGAGTTGTGTGTGTCAGCGTAACTCCTCGCCATTCATCTGATTTTGGTGCCGTGGAGAAGCTAACTTTCAAGTGGACGCATCCAGCGGCGGATGTAGAAATTCAAGACTCAGGCGCTAGTCCCACGTTAAGCCGGATACTCACTGCCGGTAAATATACGCTTTATTTTATATTCTAATACCTGTATATTATTTTTACCATATTAAATTTATTTTAAATACATTTTTCATATATTGTGCAGGGCTAAACAGGGGCGGATCGCTAAAGTCAACCAACGGTACAGATGGCGGCGGGGCGGATTCTTTGTGTGGAGAAATGAACGCTCTCATGCACGATTATGAAGCGATATCTCGCATAGCAACCATTGTAAATACTCTGAAAGGAAACTATCCTGATTTACAACCTGACACTACGAAACGTATTCTTCAAACTATTCAGTCTTCCATACAGGTAATTTGATAGAATTACGGATCTTCAATTATTTTCTCTAATTTATTTTTTATCCAATAAATACAACGACATATATTACTTTGTTCATTTCTTAGTCTAATTATTGTGTATTCAAATTAACTTAAAAACAGCGAAAAGATGAGGAAATGGCATGGCTAGATTCATGCTGCCTACAGTTGATTGCCAGGGCTCCGCGTGGCGGAAAAGAAGAGACATACACATTTCAGACAGCTGGTCCGGCTGTGCGTCGAGATTGGCTGACTGAACTACGACTGGCCCAACTCGCTCTCGACCCAAACAATTCTCCTGCCTGGTTGACAAGCGACGCATCGCCTGCCCGACGTCCTGCTACCAGATTGCCACTATTTGTTAGATCTCACTGTGTCTATCGTTCACAACATAAAGCTGAAGTTAAATGCGGTTGCTACTACAATGCTCCTACTAATACAGGTATAATTTTAAGTATTTAACTTCAATGTTTTCCACTGGTAAAAGTACATGGTCTTGCAATTGTTCGTCATTTTTATCACATAACTTCCCGTAGGTTAAGTTATTGTAATCGTCCAAAAATTGAAATCGAAAATTTTTACATTTCTCGACGGTTTGAAGGTTTCTGAACATTTTGGCATACTTCAGAAAAAATGGATGTGTGTGTGTGTGTGTGTATGTATGTATTATGTATATGGATACAATTTTTCGTCCACGTTTTCGGGCGCACGGATCAACCGATTTGAATGGTTCAAAAAACATTCGATTCCTATCGATAGGGAGATGTGCTGATTAGTTTTTTGGCAAAGGCAGGTCCAGAAGTTACGGAGATAAAGAGCAAAGAGTG